TGTGTGTGTGTGTGTGTGTGTGTGTGTGTGTGTGTGTGTGTGTGTGTGTGTGTGTGGTTTCCTGCTCTTCCTCAGCAGCCCGACCTGCTGACCCTGTGGTTCTGGTGGAGGCGGGTCACATTCCGCTGTCCTCCTCATGGACCGCCTGACAGAAGGGGAGGAGTCACAGAGGGACAGAGCAGGAGTTATCAGGACCAGGAGTCCAGTTCAGGACGGTTCTGCTGGGTCAGGAGTCCAGTTCAGGACGGTTCTGCTGGGTCAGGAGTCCAGTTCAGGACGGTTCTGCTGGGTCAGGAGTCCAGTTCAGGACGGTTCTGCAGGAAGAAGACTGTGAGTCAGCCTCCTGGACTTCAAAAGACCTGACTGCAGTTTTTAGAACCAGTTCTGTGGTCTTTGGGTTCTGTTGGGTCTTCTTCCTTGGATGATGACTGACCTGGACCGGGACAGTTCTAGGGGACCGTAGAAAAGCCACCTGTTGTGTTCAGAACCTGGACCCAGTCAGCGGTTGGGATGTGGGTTTGTGGTTCCAGTCTGTGGAGCGGACCCCCGCTCAGTTCTGTGTGTGCAGTGAGCATGGTACCATCATGAAGACCTGGACCCAGATGATCCGGTCCGGATGGCTCGGCAGGACGCGGTGAGGTGTCTGCGGTGCCTGCTGTTTGGACTCAACCTGCTGTTCTGGGTGAGACTGGACCCGGACCTTAATGTAAACCAGAATCATGAACAGAACCATCAGAACCGTCTGTTTGGACTCACAGCTTTTATTGGCTAATAATGAAATGATACGGGTCTGGTGTCAGAACCAGACTCTGAGTGGGTCGTGTTTATGCTTGACATTCTGAGGCGGTACCAGGGGCAGCAGAACCTGATCCATTCTGTGTGTGTGTGTGTGTGTGTGTGTGTGTGTGTGTGTGTGTGTGTGTGTGTGTGTGTGTGTGTGTGTGAACAGCTGATGTCAGCGTGTGTCCTGGGAGTGGCGGCGTGGCTTCGAGACACCCTGAACACAGTCCTGACTCTGACGGCCCACACCAGGTGAGTCCGGACCTCCTGTGTGACGTGTTTGGGTCAAAAGTTCTGAGACTCACAGGAGAAAAAGAAACGAGCTGAAGCTGAGGTTCTGGTTCAGTAAAAGGTCTGTGGTTGACCCACAATGTTCTGCAGCAAACTCCTCCTCCCAGCTGTCAGCACGGAGGGGGAGGACCGATGGTCAAACTGGGTCCAACAGAACCAGGATCCTAAACAGCAGCCAGTCTACAACAAAACAAGTCTGAGAGAAAAGAACCGAGGTTCTGAATGGACCCAGTCAGAGCCCAGAACCTCTGATCTTTGGTTCTGTTGTGTTGTGGCTCATGTGTCGAAGGCTTTCTGTTTGTTAGCAAAATATTTCACGAACCAATRGATAGAATAAAGAAAGTATGTCTACAACCTTCAGACTCAAGATGGCCGCCAGAGATAAACAA